AGTACCATCAAAGATGGATGATGCCTGTGCTGGTTCTAACATTCCTGTTTACCAACTGGAATGGGATTTGTCTGTGCGCAGCTTTTAGGTACTCAGTCTGAACTGTCTGTGGTTTAATAGTTTAGTCAAACTGAACCTCACAGAGTCAGACGTATAAACATGCATGTGTTTAACACCATGATTAAGCGGCTGTAATTGAATATCCATGTAAAAATTGTAATATACGTCCAGAATAACAGGTTTACCATGATACAGTATTGTGGACGACTTTCTTGTGTCCCAACTGTGGATCAGACTGCCATCCAAAATCAGGCTGAAGACGCATTTTCAGCACACCAGGCTTAGAGTGCTACCATGATCTCTTCAGATGGAATGATTCCTACTACTACTACTACTACTACTACTACTACTACTACTTCTACTACAACTACAAAACTACTAGTGGGCATCACTTTGTAGTTACTTGAGTGCACCATGAATACCCTTCACGCGTATTGCACTGTTGTGTCGGAAAAGATATCTCCTGCAACAGACAACATTCTGATCCAACGCTGACCAAACATTCAACAGCAGGGCTCGAAATTAAAGGTGGTCCAACGGCTACTGACCACTAAAATTTAGGCTGGGACAACTAAAAAGACAGTTTGGGACATTTTTGGGACAATAGAAAAATAATCAACACCAGAATGTCAGCCCTTCTTTTATTTATCAGGCTGTCTACTCTTCAATTATAGTGCGCCTGGGAGTGAACATAAGTAAAATAACGTTGATTTCAAGTTGAAGTCATGCAATGCTTCCACAAAAAACAGGTTGGAAAAGTTCATCCTCATTCCGGGACATTTCAAATTTATTTTGGGGACAGTGCTGGGACACCTGCAACAGGTGCAGTACGTTTGCTAGCGTGTTTGATACTTACTGTGGACACGGACTTCAAGAGGCCGGTTGTTGTCATCCTTTCCGAACTACAGCAGGCAGCTGGGCTATGTGTATATATGATGTCTGTAGTAGGTTCCGCCTGTAGGTAGGGGAATACAAAATGATGCAGCACGTCATATCAAGTCTATCACAATAAACAAATTACCCATTGAGTTGATTTCCAAGATCATTTCATTCCTTGTGACTTATTAGACATGTACATCTCTTTTGCCCTACGCATTATAGTTCATGAGTTCTATATTGCAAGTTTAAGCCCGGGGACATACTGACAAGGACAATGAGTACAGAATTTACTGAGAAATATATATATATTCATGTGATTAAACAAACTTCTACTTCGAATAATATAAGGTTCCTTTTCTATAATGTATGCATATCATTTTCGGATTCTGTATCAGTTTATCTAGGTCAATATATATACATAATGCTATACAAAAGAGAAACCATGGCATAGCAATGTGAAATGCATTGTTCCATCATAACATCATCATATGATTCATAACATGTACATACATGTATTGAATGATAAATTCAGATTGATACATTGGTAGAAATAGTTTATCGGTATTTAGTGTCATTTGCCATACATTGTGACTATAATACATAAACAGCAAAGAGAGACATGCTCAACTACGATTGTATATCTAGATCAACTATGAATCTTGTATTTGCAGAAAATAGCCGAATGTAAATAGTAAATTATCCAGGAATAATGTAAAATATAATCAGATTAAGAAATCAAGACACACAAACAAAAGCTTACCGCTTGTTTCGTGCTGTTAAAGAATATGCCGACAAACATCCCGACGCATAACATCAGCAAAACAACCGCCACACGAGCAGAGCACATCCGACGATATATGCATCCTGAAAAAAGTGTTAAAGCATTATAGCAAGGAATGTCATCGAAACGCCTTGGTAAAATACAGTACAATGATGTACATGCAAAATGCCTTCGTATAAAGGGAAGATTCTATTTGGTAGTGTCTAGAGAGAGAGAGAGAGAGAGAGAGTTGGTAACAGTTCAGATTCTTAGACAAATGCGAAAATGCCTTGTTGTGATATATTGCAAATTTGAAATGTTGACAAGGCTTACCGCAAATTTCGTGAACGTCTGGCACATACATTGGATTTGGACCATCATCACCATCATCATCATCTGCTGCAGCATCTGCAGCATCAAACGACATATTGTTTGCTTGTCCTTCAACCAAATCGCCACTTGTTGTAGGCTGGTTGTTGCAACTATCGTCATCTTCTCGGTATCCAACAGCATACGGCTGGATGTCGTTATGGTTTGTCACTTTTGGGTCAAATGCTGATTCTTCATCATCGTCTTGGTATTGAACTGCATATGGCTGGATGTGGATATGGTCATCATGACCAGTAAGACTGCAAGCGGGTTCATCATCTTGTTGATGTTTAGCAGTATGTGGCTGGATGAAGAAGGTGTCATCATTGGCAGCTGGACGTTGGCAAACGGGATTATCATCTTCCTCATTGCAAGTTGCAGATGGCTGGACGGAGGAGATGTCATCGGCGTCCGTTGGTAAGCAAGGGTGTTCATCATCCTGATGGTGTCTAGCAGCATGTGGCTGGATGCGGAAAGCGTCATTATTGTTAGCTGGTAGGAAAGCGCGTTGAAAACCTTGTTGATGTTTAGAAACAGAAGCCCGGACGGAGGAGGTGTCATCAGTGTCAGTTGGTCGGCAAACCGGTTCATCATCTTCCAGGTACGCGACAGCATATGGCTGGACGCAGGATCCGGCATCTGAGGGTTGGTCTTCAGTCATGGTTCAGAAGTGATTTGACGATCTGTATAGATTTTGATAAAGTGTATTTTTTTGCCTGTCAAAACAGAAAAAAAATCAGTTCAACCAGCAGTTGAAAAATCACTGATTAATAAAAGTCTTTTATGCACCTGACGACTGCCATTTGGTTGACCGTCTGCCATCTTCCTTAGGACAGACAGTTCATTAAATGTTGGATAGTTAATTATTAACATTTATGTATGTTTTTATCTGGACAGGTTGTGTGTAAAGGCATCTGCCTGTTCCCGCTTTTCTGTCCTTGTGACAAAGTTCAAATAAATAAATAAAACATTGCTGCTGTTCATATAACTTTATTAAACCGCTATCTGTGTTTGTTTAGTTCTTTTCTAATCAATCTAGTTAATCTCCCTGTCACTATTCTTGGTCTATCCTTGTGAATTAAAACGAATTCTATCTAGTCTAAACATGATTTTACGTGCTTTTTAAATTGCACTCGATTCAATAGGTTCGAGGCATTTATAACATAACCCATAAAACAGAATTAACTATATTTTACATCTTGATCGATCATACATTGTGCTTCTTTGACGATTATTTGAGTATTCCATGAGTTTATATTCTGCAACATACAACATATTCCCCACTCCATTGTGAAAAGAGACTGACTTTTGCAACATCATGGGCGGCAGACACAAGTTATTAATTTCTATGCAAATCGAGCCACCCACGGGTTATCGTCTGATACCAGGCACATGATATCAGCCTTGGGGGTATCTTTGTTGGCTAAATTATAAAATTTCTTTTTCTCTTTAAATTTGTAGTTGTGTTTGTCATTCTCCATATAAAACTATACAATTTTGACATCTTTTTAGATTATATGAGGGGTTTCCATTGTTATTGTTTCAGTTTTCTTCTCGTGTAAGGTCACATCCAAGAAATATGGTTTTCATATATATATTTGTGTTTCACATACGTATACGCTGCGACAAAATTCACTCTAAAGCTGAAGGAATTTGTGCTGTTGATGTTGGAAAATCTTAACCTTTTTTTTTATAAATTGTTTCTACAGCTTGCCCATATAACATAACATAAGATATGACTATACATATGGCATTTTCATTCAAGGGGGTTGATATATTTTTGAACCTTAATTCATCTTAAACTTGGCAGCATTCCGGTAGCATGGCGTAAACTACTTCAGCGAAGAAACTAAATAATATATGTTTTTCGGTACTTACGGTAATTGTAGTTGCACCAGCACAGGGAAAGACCAGGCTGAAAGCGGCTTGTCTTCCCTGAGCCCTCGACACCTCCAAGTAATCTTCAAGTGCGCAAATAGGTCTCGGCTGGTAGTGAAGGTGAAAATATGTAATAACATATATACTGGATATACATGACTGTGGTATGAAACATTGTAGATAGAGGGACAGTCACATTCTCGGAATATACGTATGTAGTAAGAGCCGATTTTAAAGGAAAAGTTCAGGTTGATGATTCTTAACAAAGCCGTTTTGAAAACACAAGAAAATATGCCAAAATGACAATGTATTAAATTTTTAAAAGGCCTTTGACTACCACCACCCCTAGGAATTGACATAGTGGACGGACCAAATCCCTTCAACAGACAAATGAAGAGCTAGAGTTGACTAAAGTGTGGGGCTGACAGACTATATAATTACATATGTAAACATATACTTTTCATGAACTCACGTGTTAGAACACAGATATTCATCTCAATGTCTTTTACAAGATTTTCCTTTTTGTAATGACGAAGTACCTTATCATACATCTTACTGAAAACTCGTTGAGATGTAAGGCTACAGCAAGTAAATTTTAAGGATGACATCCTCCGACTCCAAATCTGATGCGAGCGGGCGAAAAAAACAAGGCGAGCCGAAAAAACAAGGTTCCTGGTACATTTTAAAATTTTGACTCAATCATTGTATAAATGGCTTTGATTCAGTGGGAACATCACATATACACAGCCAGCATCACATATCACTGTATCAAAGTAAGAAACAAAACATTAAATCATAGCTTTTCCTCTCTTCATAGTTATCTGCCATCCACCTTCCGGCATGGCAACAGACATCTCTGCCCATTTTCGTTATGTTGACCACTGTCAGAAGGCAACAAAATTTCTTCTTGTTTTTTCCCCGCCAAATTAGGCGAAAATAATTGCGCGCGCTGATGTCATTCATGAAAATAACCTCCTGTGGCCTAATTGATGCTATATACATGTCTAAAAATCTATGCATTTCCAGACATGCTTATTCTTTTGTTTGTGGGTTTCTATTCCTTTTGTTCTGGCTTTGTCTTCTTTGATGCTGCCTCATATCTCTTCTGTTCAATATTGTATTTGAAGGTTGGCCGTCCGTTGATGATCGCACGCACATTATTCACCGGCATGACAATTTGCCACCGTGTGTCCACTTTGAATGATGCCTTTCGGCGAATTTCCCTCATCAGGTCCACGGACTGTGCAAAACAAAAGGAAGAAAAAATGTAAGTTGATTGGCATTTTCTCAGGGTCTGAACTTCATTATTGTTATTGTTTCATTTTGCCTATGTTTCAATTAATGTGCTAACAATTCCTTATGTATGTATTATTTCATATCAATTTTATTTCATCTCAATTTATGCATACTATTGTTTCATTATTGTTATTGTATAATTTTGCCCATGTTTGAATTATTTTGATAACAATTCCTTAATGTATGTATGTATTATTTCAATTCATTTATGTTAAGTTTTGGTTAGTATAGAGGACAAGGCTTAGCATACGCTAAATAACTTTTTCTCTCCTCCTGCACCTGTTTTATTTATTATTAGTGTATTATGTATACTTTTTTATTGCTGTTGTGTAAATAAACAAACAAAACATACCAATGCAGAATTTGAATAGATCAACAAAATATTGCGTCGAACTATATAGTAAGTTTGGATCTTTCCATTGTATGATACCTCCAAGAAGATCTTACGGTGGCCACCTCATGATATTTGGAGAAATAACTACGCATCTATATTGTAAATTCGTACGTACTCTTGCCGATATTTCCTTGCAATATTTGGCATCAATGACAAACTGTGGACTCCACTGTGAAGTTTTCACAGTAAGTTTGAGCCTGGGTTTCCTTCGTTGCTCTCCACGGCAGAACCAGCTGACGTTCTTGTTCAGTTCCCTGTAGTAGTGGAGCTCCTGATAGAAATCTGGACCCTGATCGGTCGACACATGATTCACAAAAAAGACGACAAAGCTTAGTTACTTCAGGGTACGAAAGTCTTGTTTTGGGTGGCTGGCTTGTGAATTTTATTGTTTATTGTAAAAGTTCCACGTAACATTATTATTGATTGATTTTAAAAAAGCCTAAAGGTGAACCATCAGGGCATACAAACCTTCGTTCAACCGGGTCGGGGGGGCGGTACCGACTTCCGATGAACTTTGACCCAGTGCTGACGTCCACAGCACTTGTGTCATAAAGCTAACTAAGACTGATCAGCGATTCAGTAGAAAATTTCTGGTAATTTTTTTTTAGTTGGAGAACAGTTTAATTCATGTATTTTGCCAACACAGATTAATTTTCATGCTATTTCGGTCAAGGTGTCAAGCTAGATTGTAGACTAATTCCTGGAATACGTGACACTGTAAATATTGGCTTGGCCTTACCTGGCCTGCAATCTTCCGCCACAATGACCTGTTAAACGTGTCATACAGACGGTAATCCACAGCCTTCCACTTCCGGAGGTTGGCCAGCTCCTCAGCGGTTGGGGTGTAGGATTTGTAGGTGTAATTCCGGACGTTCTTCGGTGTGGTGTCGTACAGGACGTCTTGTATTTCCCAGCACATGAGACGTCTGAGGAGAACTAAAGACTCGTCCATGTGCTCCAGCAGAAGAAAGAGCGTGAAGTCGTACTCTAATTCTCTTATGTATTCTTCAGCTGCTTCCTGGTAATAATTCATAATAAGTCCATGTTGCGTCAAAAAGCAGTTACTCAAGCAACTGGGTATGATTTTGAAAACGTCAAAATCAAAATCTGACGTTTTCAAAATCATATCCAGTTGCTTGAGTAACTGCTTTTTGGCGCATCGTATTACCTGGATGTCTAACCTTCATCGAAGGCCATGTTGATTTGATTATATGTATGAAACCCTTTGGAAACCCCAAAACTGATGCGGGTGAACGAATAAAAAAAGTTTGGCAAAAAGTTGATATCAATCTGATTATTATCAAGGTTGAACAAATGACTGAACACACGGAATAAATTGGCATGGCGAATAATAGGCTCTTCATTTTTATTTCTTTGTCTTCTTCGGAATTGATTTTGGCATTCTACGACATAAGTTTGATTATAATATTTTATGCCTAAGTTTTCTCATTTTCCAGCTACTTTCTACAATTTGCAGTATGACCAGGGCCCACGCAATAGCTATATTTATTTAAAAACAGTGTCAGAACTAAAGAAAGGGGTCAGGATACATTACAAAGGGCTAAGCAAGAAGACTACCAGTGGCTATACCTACTGGTGTGTATTTGTGTCAACGTAACACATTGAATCATATTATGACCTTACAATTCCATTACTTTAAAAAATGCGAGATGATTTTGTACCATATTATCCGCTCCTTCAGTAGGGTAGCCCAAGTCGAAAGCTAGATGGTTTCTGGTGCCGTCCCAGGTCACATTACAGAAGCTGAAGTAGGCCTCGGACAGGTGTCTGTACTTCCACGGATCTTTCAGAAACGTCTTGATGGGGTTTGTAGATGTGATGTTTAACAGCTTTGGAAGACTGTAGAATCTCATGCACGACTTCAGGTGACTGACAGGTTCACGAATGAGAGCTATGCGTCATGCAAAAAAAGTGATGTCATCAATCAATCAATCAATCAAACATGGTTTATTGCTAAAATCAAGAACATCGCTGAATTGCGTTTAAAGATGCACATCCTTTATAAAAACGCTAACGACTGCACAATTTTGGAGTCAAATTGTGGTAGTAGAGTTGCACATTAAAAAATATTTACACGTTCTTACATTTAGCATAGTGAAATTCACATTTTTCTCATTCATATTTGTACTTTACATATCAAAATAAATTAAACTATTTCATACACACATTGCACAAGATATATCAGAGGTATTTACAGAGTTAAGAGCAGTATCATTTCATTTCGTTCAACAATCTTTAGAGGGACGGTAGAGGGCTGTTGTTGTATCTTGTTGTACGTTGATGTCAACAGTTTATTTTCAGTATGACCTGCACTATACTGCAGTTAATGGTATAATATGAAATTCCAACGTTGTTCACAATTGGACTTTGATATACGTAATATTTGTAATCTGTGCCAAATGGAACATTAAAAAAGTACAGATTTGGCACATATAAACAGCTTATTTGTATAATTAACTATTATGTATATGTTGTGTTAATGTAAATGTCATTTGCATAATCTTGGAACAATGCCTTGCTAAAGTGTAGGACTTTTAACTATGAAATATTTCTTATTTTAGTTAAGAAAACCATATATGAAAAAGATTATGCTACGTGTACTGATATAGGACTGAAGATATTTTCATGTACGTATAAGGTCTACAAATTTTTGTTTCTTAATTTGATCAAGTATCTGAAATAGAGTTAAGGCTTACTTACAGATGTATACTGTGTTGGGAGGGAACTTGGACTGCAGCCATGTTTTGTTGTACACCATGTGGCCAAACAAGGCGTCATAATTCTCCCCAGGAGTGTGCACATAGTCTGTTTCGGCTGGAGGGAAGGGCCAAGAGACGTAATTTGCCGCTTTCGCTACCAACGGAGTGAGGTTGTGGTAGATGACATACCTTTGAAAAATGTTCACGGTCGTCATACTCCCTGTTTTATGTGTTTTGATGAAGACGAACTGTTGTCTTGGCTTTCTACAGGTACTGCGGTTCCAACTAGTGAATACGGTTTTTTTTAATGAAGGCAGTCTTATTGAATTCGGCAATCTCTGCTTTCGTCCAAATGTTGCCAAGGGGCGAAGTCTGTAAAGCTCGTTGCTCTGTTGAGAGAGTAAAAAAATGATGTTGAAGAGGTTCATCGTTCACGTATAGAGTAACAGTTAGTAGAACCTTCATCGATCAGTGGCTGTTTTGAAAGCGTACCTCCAAATTTCGACATCCACTCTACGCATTGGTTACGGAGTGACCAAGTTTCGTGAGAATACGACACTAAGTCGAGCCTTGTGTAGCTCTTCTGAACCTCCCCCGTCTTCTTCCACTTGGAGCGTGCTGGGATGAACCGCAACGAAGGTTGGGAGCTGCCCAAGTCCTTCTTACCCCTACTCCGCAAGGAGGCGGGGGAGGCCAATAGAGCTTCACAAGTCCCAACCTAGTGATCAATGCGTACAGTGGACCTTTCAAAACAGTCACTGTTTGATGACTGTTTTACTGTTAAAAATGTCATATTCACATGTTGCAGACACATAAATGAAGCCCCAAACTAAATCCTGTGTATTAAATTACATACCGTAATATATTTATCAGGTTGGGGGTTACATGCCTGTATCTTTGGGCACATTAAATAAATTTTACTTCATTTTTTGTAGTGATGGATACAATTTACTTACGTGAATGTAATACATGTAGAACGCCTTTCCAAGGAACAGGAATAGTATCACAGTAGCAAATACTTTCCACTTGGTATCCATTCTCAATGTCGTTATCTGCGTAGATGGGAATAAGACGAGTTAGTTACTCATCGTTACTCTAGATATTAATCTGTACATCTCGGTCTTATTGCGCAGGAACGACAACAAAAATATTTCCGAAAAAAGTTTCATTAGGTTGGTAAAGTATAGGATATGATATAAGGGTTTTCTTTCACAAAATCAAAAGTTCCTACCTTGCTTTCGTTTCGATGTCTACCAGACACCTTCTTCAGAGCTTCTGACAGGAGTTCTGCTTCTCGGCTACATGTAGCGGCGAGTAAGCTAGATGGGAACTTTTGTTTGTGTAAAAGAAACCCCTTATATCCAACAAAAATATGTATTTATAGCCTTTTGCAATTTTCTTTGTTTTTGGATTTTTCTCATGGATCATGGAAATTTGATGATTACATTTAGCATAATCTATTTCATATTTGGTTTTCTCAACTCAAATAACATACATTTATTATGTCAAAATCCTATCCTTTTGCAAGGTCTTGCTACAATATTGTATTAGCAATTATGTAAATGACCTCCACATTAACATAATATATGTATAGTGATGTTAGTCTTCAACTACACTACACAGGTGACAAGTATGAAATGTCCATAACGTACCAGCATTTTTACGCAAATAAGGTGTGTATTAGCATAATTCATTTTTTCCACCTGTTGATGTTCCACATGCTGTGCCATACAGTACACTGTACATACCTGTGTCATACAGTATACAGAACATGTTTAAATCCTATTATGTACAACAAAGACTTTTAAATTGCCAAATTTATGATGCAAATTAAGCCCGCATTAACTTATATTTGATTGTGTGCATTTCTGTTTAAGGTACCTACATGCAAACATCTTGAAATTTCATTGTTTGCTTCTTAATTTATCCGCTTTGGAAGATTTTGACGAAAACTCCCCTGTAGACACAGACCCTAAGTTTGCCCTCCCCCCTAGCTGTTTGTTATTTTTGTCATGAAAATCTATCAGCCACCAAAAGATCACGACCAGGCATGTCCAGGACAAAAGATATAGAAAACGAAGTTGGGCTGCAATGCCAAGGTCAGCCACCAGGAGGCCCATATTTGACCTTACCTTCCTAAGACCTACCGACATATCATGTATCATTACAATCTATAAAGGCTTTCTTAAGTTATACTGACCACATGTATGTGGAAACACACTCACACGCCCCTTACACACACACACACACACACACACACACACACACACACACACACACACACACACACACACACACACACACACACACACACACACACACACACACACACACACACACACACACACACACACACACACACACACACACACACACACACACACACACACACACACACACACACACATCAAAAATGTTTCCTACATTTGCACGTATAGTGGTGTATGGTGAGTAGAGTGGAGTAGAGTAGAGTAGAGTAGAGTACAGTAACTTTGAGTAGAGTTGAGTAGAGTACAGCAGAGCAGAATAGAGTAGGGTGGTTCCAAACTTACAGTCTGGTCTTACGCGGCTTGTACAATACAATACAAAACAAAACATAAACACATGAAGGAAAGGCTATATCATCGGCTTTACGTCCCCATTTTAACTGGACTAATGCAACACACCACACCGAGTGGTATTCTTACGAATGCGGCTTCCTAATTATAAAAAGTAGTAGGATCCAATTAGTAGTATTAAGATTAAGATATATGGAAGTATACTTCTACCTGGTATATGAATGGACGACACAATGTTAAGTGGCCTTGGGCTGCCGAGCTGATCAGTTGATATGGAGCCACTGTCTGAAATGTCAATCAGACCGGTTTTCCCGCTGTTACTCATTAAGGTCATGGGAGGTCGATAAACATCACAGCTGACATACAAATGCACGAGGGACCCTCTACGGCGTAATGCGAAGTGCCAGAAAAAAATGGGATAAATGCCAGGTAAGCGGTGATTATGAAAAAAGTATTTTTTTGTGGAAGTCTTTGTATTACAACCGGGGCCGATGGAAGAATCTATTCTTAAAGAGGGGGGGGGGGCATTTCATGATTTTGTACTAGGGTTAGGCCACACCAAGTAAATTTTATGGATGACGTCCTTTGGAGACCCTAAATCTAATGCGAGAGGGCGAAAAAAACAAGAAGGGCCATAAAAAACAAGATGCCTATATTAGAAATATACTAAGAGACGACAAATGTTAGGACACAAATTGAATGAGGTGACACAGTGTAACAAGCAAGAGGTCTTTTATTCATCATCAAAACAGCAATAAATCAGGTGGAACAGCAGTTGTCGTCCTGTCCTGTTTCTCTCATCACATATTTGCAGGCCTGCAGAAATGACAGGATCATCCTGTCAATAGTGGATTTCTTCTGTTATTGACAGGACCATCCTGTCAATAGTGCAAAATTTTCTGCTATTGACAGGATGATCCTGTCAATAGACACTTTCTTACCTATTCGTATTACGGGTTTCACGTCAATCTGACGATTTGCGGCACTGTCCTGACTCTTTGGTCATAGTTACAGGAAGCGGAATTTCTTCTTTTTTTCTAGGTACAGGCCAAAATCAATGCGCGCGCGGACGTCATCCATAAAATTTACTTGGTGTGGCCGTATGACGTACAACAGCAAAAAGAAAAAAAAACCAACAACATGAAGGCACAAAAACTCTCGGAAAAGAACTTTGGTGGACGAATTATCCATCTTCTGTTTTTACTTCAAGTGTCATCAAATAAAGTAATATTAGATCTGCTGTTGGTGGGGCCACTTCACTTTGGAATGTATTTACAATTCTAGCAGTATGTTGATTTATGTATCAGTATGTGCTGTCAGTGCACATGTTAGTCAGAATAAACAATAGGACGTATGTCACATTTCTTAAACTCTGTAAATTTCTTATGTTTCAAAATAAGCATTGTTCTCCAACAAAAAAGATGTACACAATAAACTTCAGTGACGTGTATATGAAGAAACAGGCAAGAAATAATTTTGAAGCATGTATCAGTGATGTAAGTCGTAAGATTTTACATGATTTGTCTCGATTGTCCAAAAAGTGACGTTTGTAGTTCTATCACCGCACAAAATCCCTAGTTTCCGTTTGAGAAATTGCCGCACACTTTCCCGGATATTTTAGGTTTCCGGTAGAACCCGGGGGTTTCCGACCTGCACACGCAAGGTGTCCAGTCCCGTACATGTCTTGTACACTCCCGGAAATGAACCACTTTTTGTGTGCAGGTCGTGTACTGGGCGTTATATGCCCGGACACGATCCCTGTACATCCCCGTACACGGCAGGAAATGGCCGTGCACCGCTCCGTGCGTTGCTGGAATATGCATAATTTAGCGGCAATTATCACCTAATTATTCTCCACACGGCAGCGGAAATTCGCCGTGTACGGGTCGGACATGCCGGTACTACACCCCCCCCGGCAAAACCCGCCCCGCTCTCGGGACCGGTTGCTCCCGTTCCCGGGACCCGTTGCTCCCATTCCCGGGGCCCTGCTGTTCCCGTTCTCGGGACCCCACTGCACCCACTACGGGGACCCCCTTCCCGCTCCCGGGGCTTCGCTGCCCGGCTCCCGAGAAATCGCTTCCCCCGCTCCCGGGACACATTTCGATGTTTTAGGAACACATTTCATTAATAAAAAAAGTAATACATGTTTATACTTCAGTCATCGTTTTATTGGTATAAACAGGATCGCCATTTACAGACTGACAAAAATAACGCTCTATGTACAGTACAGTGTATACACGTTATGCACTATGCTAACACTATACAATAATGTAACCTGGTACTTTACAAAAATGTGTAGCCGAAACATAGAAACAATAGCTTTTTCCCGAACTAGCCTTCCAGGGACTAGACTTTTAAAATCGTTGGACCCGGTGTAAACTCAGAAACTACTAGTAATTAACAGATTTCTCTTAAAAAGTAAACTAACATCACATCTCATCACAATCACCTCCAAATAGAAGTCTATTTTAGCAAAAAATGTCAAAAAGTAACTAATACTGACATATCATCAGGTTAAAAGAGGAAAATAGCCCTCAGATCATAAAAGTGAATGGCGCTTACACAAACAGTCAAAAGACTAAATTTTCAATAAACAAAGAAGGCCTCAAACAAAGTTCTTCAAAATACATGTACGTGTAGCAAAAACATAATTGCAGACCTAACATGAAGTTAAATGAGGCTTGGCAGAAACAATATCACGTCACTACAAAAAAAGATCATTTGCTCAGAAATTAATTACATGAACACGTATTCAATTTACAATGTCGTTAAAGACAAGCTGTCGGTTTCGTAAAGTTTGCGTTGTCGCCTCTACAAAAATGAGGCTTATTAGTTGTAGATTGAAGGCCAGGAG